ACAGTGTTCTTTGCCTTAGAGAAGCTTTGCAATTTTATGAGGTCCCATTTATCAATTCTTCATCTTAGAGCACAAGCCATTATTTGATGTTCTGTTAAGGAACTTCTCCCCTGTGCCTAGGTATTCGAGGGTCTTACCCACCTTTCTCTTCTATTAAATTCACTTGATCCACTTGGACCTGAGCTTTGTACAGGGAGATAAGAATGGATCAATTTTCATTCTTCTACATGTTGACCACCAGTTGAACCAGCACCATTTTGTTGAAAATGCTGTCTTTTTTCCACTGGATGGTTTTAGCTTCTTTGTCAAAGATCAACTGACCATACATGTGTGGGTTTATTTCTGGGTCTTCAATTCTATTCCATTGATCTTCCTGCCTGTCTCTGTACCAATACCATGCAGTGTTTATCACTATTGCTCTGTAGTACAGCTTGAGGTCAGGGATGGTGATTCTTTCAGAAGTTCTTTTATTGTTGAGAATAGTTTTTGCTATCGTGGGTTTTTTGTTATTTGAAATGAATTTGAGGATTGCTCTTTCTAACTATGAAGAATTGAGTTGGAATTTTGATGGGGATTGCATTGCATCTGTAGATTGCTTTTGGCAAGATGGCCATTTTTACTATATTAATCCTACCAATTCACGAGCATGGGAGATTTTTTCCATTTTCTGAGAACTTCTGATTTCTTTCTTCAGGGACTTGACGTTCTTGTCATACAGATCTTTCACTTGCTTGCTTAGAGTCACACAAAGGTATTTTATATTATTTTCGACTATTGTGAAGGGTGTCGTTTACCTAATTTTTTTTTCTCAGCCTGTTTATCCATTGAGTATAGGAAAGCTACTGATTTGTTTGAGTTAATTTTATATTCAGCCACTTTGCTGAAGTTGTTTATCAGGGTTAGGAGTTCTCTGGTGGAAGTTTTGAGGTCATTTAAGTATACTATCATATCATCTGCACATAGCAATATTTTGACTCCTTCCTTTCCTATTTGTATCCCTTTGACTCCATTTTGTTGTCTAATTGCTCTGGCTAGGACTTCCAGTACTATATTGAATAGGTAGGGAGAGAGTGGGCAGCCTTGCCTAGTTCCTGATTTTAGTAGGATTGCTTCAAGTTTCTCTCCATTTAGTTTGATGTTGACTACTGCTTTGCTATATATTACTTTTACTGTGTTGAAGTATGGGCCTTGAATTGCTGATCTTTCCAAGACTTTTACCATGAAAGGGTGTTGAATTTTGTTAAATGCTTTCTCAGCATCTAGTGAGATGATCATGTTTTTTTTTTCCCCTTTGAGTTTGTTTATGTAGTGGATTACCTTGATGGATTTCCATATATCGATCCATCTTTGCATTCCTGGGATAATGCCTACTTGATCATTGTAAATGATAGTTTTGATGTGTTCCCGGATTCAGTTTGGGAGAATTTTATTGGGTATTTTTACATTGATATTCATAAGGAAAATTGGTCTGAAATTCTCTTTCCTTGTTGTGTCTTTGTGTGGTTTAGGTATAAGCGTAACTGTGGCTTGATAGAATGAATTAGGTAGTGTTCATTCTGTTTCTATTTTTTGGAATAGTTTGAAGAGTATTGGTATTGGTATTAGGTCTTCTTTGAAGTTCTGATGAAGTTCTGATAGAATTCTGCACAAAACCCATCCATCCGGCCCTAGGCTTTTTTTTGTTGGGAGGCTTTTAATGACTACTTCTATTTCTTTAGGGGTAATGGGACTATTTAGATGGTTTATCTGTTCCTGATTTAACTTTGGTACCTGGTATCTGTCTAGAAAATTGTCCGTTTTATCCAGATTTTCTAGTTTTTTTTGAGTAGGCTTTTGTTGTAGAATCTAATGATTTTTCAAATTTCCTTGGTTTCTATTGTTATGTTTCTCTTTTCAGTTCTGATTTTATTAATTTGGAAACTGTCTCTTTGCCCTCTGGTTAGTCTGGCTAAGGGTTTATCTATCTTGTTGATTTTCTCAAAGAACCAGCTCCTGGTTTTGTTGATATTTTGTATAGTTCTTGTTGTTTCTACTTGGTTGATTTTAGCACTGAGTGATTATTTCCTCCCTTCTACTCCTCTTGGGTGTATTTGCTTCTTTTTATTCTAGAGCTTTCAGATGTACCATCAAGCTGCTAGTGTATGTTCTTTCCATTTTCTTTTTGGAGGTAATCCACAGCTATGAGTTTTCCTCTTAGCACTGCTTTCATTGTGTCCCATAAGTTTGGGTATGTTGGGCCTTCATTTCCATTAAGTTCTAAAGTTTTTAATTTCTTTATTTCTTCCCTGACCAAGTTATCATTGAGTAGTAGAGCATTGTTCAGTTCTCATGTGTATGTGGGCTTTCTGGTTTTTGTTGTTGTTGAAGAACAACCATAGTCTGTGGTGATCTGATAGGATGCATGGGATTGTTTCAGTCTTCTTGTGACCAATTATATGGTCACTTTTGGAGAAGGTACCATGAAGTGCTGAGAAGAAGGTATATTCTTTTGTTGTAGGATGAAATGTTCTATAGATATCTGTTAAATCCATCTGGTTCATCACTTCTGTTAGTTTCACTGTGTCTCTGTTTAGTTTCTGTCTCCATGATCTGTCCATTGCTGAGAGTGGGGTGTTAAAGTCTCCCACTATTACTGTGAGAGGTGCAATGTGTGCTTTGAGCTTTATTAAAGTTTCTTTTATGAGTGTGGGTGCTCTTGCATTTGGAGCATAGATGTTCAGAATTGAGAGTTCATCTTGGTTGGTCTTTCCTTTGACAAGTATGATGTGTCCTTTCTTTTCTTTCTTGACAACTTTTGGTTGAAAGTCGATTTTATTAGATATTAGAATGGCTACTTCACTTGTTTCTTGGGACCATTTGCTTGAAAAAATTTTTTCCAGCTTTTTACTATGACATAGTGTTTGTCTTTGTCACTGAGGTGCATTTCCTGTATGCAGCAAAATCCTGGGTCCTGTTTACCTATCCAGTCTGTTAGCCTATGTCTTCTTATTGGGGAGTTGAGTTCATTGATGTTAAGAGATATTAAGAAAACTGATTGTTGCTTCCTGTTACTTTTGTCCTTAGAGGTGGAATTACGTTTGTATGGCTATCTTCTTTTGGGTTTATTGAAAGAAGATTACTTTCTTGCTTTTTCTAGGGTATAGTTTCCTATCTATTATCCTTTGTAGGGCTGGATTTGTAGAAAGATATTGTGTAAATTTGGTTTTGTCATGGACTATCTTGGTTTCTCCATCTATGGTAATTGAGAGTTTTGCTGGGTATAGTAGCCTGAGCTGGCTTTTGTGTTCTCTTAGGGTCTGTATGACTTCTGTCCAGGATCTTCTGGCTTTTAGAGTCTCTGGTGAGAAGTCTGGTGTAATTCTGATAGGTCTGCCTTTATTTGTTACTTGACCTTTTTCTCTTACTGCTTTTAATATTCTTTGTTTTGTGCATTTGGTGTTTTGATTATTATGTGACAGGAGGAATTTCTTTTCTGGTCCAATCTATTTGAAGTTCTTTAGGCTTGTATGTTCATGAGCATCTCTTTCTTTAGGTTAGGGAAGTTTTCTTCTATAATTTTGTTGAAGATATTTACTGGCCCTTTAAGTTGGGAATTTTCGCTGTCTTCTATACCTATTAGCCTTAGGTTTGGTCTTCTTACTGTGTCCTGGATTTCCTTGATGTTTTGGGTTCATTGGTTTTTGTATTTTGCATTTTCTTTGACTGTTATATCAGTGTTTTCTATGATATCTTCTGCACCTGAGATTCTCTCTTCTATCTCTTGTATTCTGTTGGTGATGCTTGCATCTGTGACTCCTGATCTCTTTCCTAGGTTTTCTATCTCCATGATTGTCTCCCTTTGTGATTTCTTTATTGCTTCTATTTCCATTTTTAGATCCTGGATGGTTTTGTTCAATTCCTTCACTTGTTTGGTTGTGTTTTCCTGTAATTCTTTAAGGGATTTTTGTGTTCCTTTTTAAGGGCTTCTACCTATTTACCTTTGGTTTTTCGAGACAGGGTTTCTCTGTGATTTCCTGGCTGTCCTGGAACTCACTCTGTAGACCAGGCTAGCCTTGAACTCTCGAACTCAGAAATCCGCCTGCCTCTGCCTCCCAAGTGCTGGGATTAAAGGTGTGCGCCACCACCTCCCGGCTCTCCTGTATTTCTTTAAGGGAGTTATTTATGTCCTTCTGAAAGTCCTCTATAATCATCATGAGATGTGATTTTAAATCAGAATCTTGCTTTTCCAGTATGTTGGGGTATCCAGGACTTGATGTCATGGGAGATCTGGGTTCAGAGGATTCAGGTAGCCTTGGTTTCGGTTGCTTCTGTTCTTGCAGTTGTCTCTCACCATCTGGCTATGTCTGGAGTTAGTTTGTCTTGCTGTCTCTTTAGTTTGTCTGGCTGTAGCTTGTTCCTCCTCTGAGCCAGTGGTTTTAGGTGTGTCAGCACTCCTGGGAGACCAGTTCTCTCCCAGCAAGATTTGGTTATGGAGAACTGTGTCACAGGGTTAGCTCCTGGGTGCTGATGGAGACAGGAAGGATCCTGTTCCTGGCTGCTCTGTGGTACCTGTGAGTCCCTCTTTTTCCAGTTATTGGAGCAAAGTGGTAGTCTCACCTATGAACTTAGCAGCACTCCTGGGAGACCAGCTCTCTCTGGGCGGGATTTGGATATGGAGGGCTGTGGGACAGTCTTAGCTCCAGGGGCACTTTTTTTTTTTTAATAGGCAGTTTTGAATGCCAAACTGTTCTTCTTTTGAAAAATGATGAAAACTGTAATTTAATAAACACATTAAACATCAATCTGTTTTGTGAGCTATATATTCTCTAGTGTTGATAAGAAGTAATTAAGCCTCTTAATGGTATAATGTTGTTAATGGAAAATTGGTAAATTTTTTAAAGGGACCAAACTGATAAAAGTTAATTTCATTACAGGTTTCTCTGGACTCCTTCTGAAGTTCTGTCTAGAAATTTGTGTTAAGTTTTTTATAAAAAGAATTTTGTTGCCACCGTCCTATCAAGATGTTTGTATCACCTTTGAAACATTCAGGAATTCATTTGTCTTCTGGGACATTGCAAACAAGAAATATGCCTCTAGATGCAGTCTTTATCGACAGCATCCCTTCAGGCACACTCACTCCTGTGAAAGACTTGATGAAGTATCAGAAGTCCTCTCTAAAACTGAATGGTCATAAAAAGAATCAGTTTTTAGAAATTACAACTTCTAACAATAAAAATGTACTTCAATCCACCATGCTATCGGAAGATAACCTTTCAAACCACTCTCCTGATGTCAGTGTTATAAAACCCAATGTGGATATGATTTATGAATCACCAGGAAAAATCTTTCAAAGAATGAAAGAAAAAGTACAGTCTGACAAACAAGAACAACCATCAAGGAACCTGTTGGGATCACCAAAATGTGAACATAATAAAGTCTTTCCTCCTGACAGAGGCAAGAAAACTCGGCTGCAACATACCTATATCTGTGAGGAAAAAAAAATATCATTCCAATCCAATAACTCTTCATTGGGAGGTTAGTTTGATTATCTAAGGGTTTGAAATGTCTTTTTAACTGTTTAATGTGTCAGTTTTAAGATTTTGTTTATAATAATGAACAGAGTACTAAAATGTCTTCTCAAATTCCAGTGAAAGTAATTTTTGTGGTACCACAGAAGAGAGAGAACTGCAGACATGGTATCAAATTCCAACACTGGGGAGGCATGTAGTCTAGATTGGCCTCAGGTTTGAAAGTCTCCTGAGTACTGGGATTACAGGAATATATATCATGTTGCATTACTTGATATGTGTATAAATACATTTTGTATGTGTATGAATACAACACATTATTGATATGTATCTATCATGGAGTATGTATATAAATATATACTTTGTGTGTATAGGAGTGTGAGAATTAGTAGTAGGATTTAAGAGCAAATAAGTTCCTGTCTTTGAGATTCTGATGACTCCTTGTCTGGTGTGCACACATAGAAATGATCTTTTTCTTCTCTGGCACACATTTTAAGTGTTAATTCTCTTTATATATCAAAAAAGCTCACTTCTGTATTTAAAATGGATTAAATGGAAAGACTTAGAATATAAATACAAATAATACTGCCAGCCCTTATTTATCTAATCGACAAACTTTCATTTCTTTAAAGGCCTGATCATTATGTTGAAAGCTGGGCGTGGTGATCTATTCCTGTAATCCTAGTATTCAGTAGTATTGTAGAGGCCAATCCTGACTACATAATGAGGCCCTACTGACAAAAGGTCAAAGGGATATAAATTTTTGTTGAATTTGTAATTATGTCTTTGAATTTTCAAGGATAGATTCAAACTCATTAATTGTGTGTTTATGCCCTTAGTCAGAATCACCTGATAGTACCTGTGGTCAGCCACTTAGGACTTTGGCATTCTCTGGTACACAGTAGGGTGGAATGTGTTGTTAATCCAAAATCTGAGTAAAGCAGATAGCTCCCATGGCTTTTGAGGACTATATTCTAGTCTTTGGTGCTGCTTGTACTAGGAGGAATCACAGCTCAAGACTGTTTACAGAGGCTTAATAGTATGCTTTTGTCTTGAAAAGACAAATTATAATTTGGAAATCGTTAATGTTTTTTCCCTTCTCTCAGTAAGTATAGAAGCTGAAATGAAGGCAAAAGGAGATAGTAAAGGGAAACGTTTTTAAATTAATTTATTTCCATTTTATGAGCATTGGTGTTTTGCCTATATGCATGTCTGTGTGAAGGTTTCAGATCTTGGAGTTAAAGACAGTTGTGAGCTGCCATGTGAGTGCTGGGATTTGAGCCTCGGTCCTCTGAAAAAGCAGTCAGTGCCTTCAACCACTGAGCCATCTCTCCAGCTAACACAATTCCCTCTTTGTCCCCCCACTGCTCAACCTGACCCCCACCCCTCAACAGGGTTTCTCTGTGTCGCCCTGGCTGTCCTGGAGCTTCAGGCTGGCCTCCAGCTCACAGAGCTCTGCCCGCCTTGCCTCCTGAGTACTATGGTTAAAAGCCTGGCTAAAGGGAACTTTTTATGTCACTGTTATTTATTATGAAAGCATACTATACTGGTCTGAAGACCTTTTCCTCCGTTTCTAAAGTGCCAACCTACAAGTTACCCTAGAATCATCAAGCATTTCCAGTGTCTTAGTAATTGTTCTTTTCCTGGGAAATGACACCATGATCATGGCAACTCTTATAAAAGAAAGCATGTAAGTGGGAGCTTGCTTATAGCTCAGAGGCGTAGTCCACCATCACCATGGTAGGGAAGCAGGGTGGCATTCAGGCAGGCTCTGAAGCAGGAGCCAAGATCCACGTCCTGATCCACAGAGAAAGAGAGAGGGGGTGGAGGAGGTGAAGGGAGGGAGAGGGAGAGGGGGAGGGGAGGGGGGAGGGGGAGAGGGAGAGGGAGAGAGAGAGGGATAGCGAGAGGGAGAGGGACAGGGAGAGGGACAGGGACAGGGACAGGGACAGGGAGAGATTCAGGCAGAGAGGCTTCAAAACCTTAAAGCCTACCCCCAGGGATATACTTTCTCCAACTACGCCATACCTTCTAATCATTTCAAATAGTGCCATTCCCTGGTGACTAAGCCTTCAAATAGATGAGCTTATGGGGGTGGGAGGGTCATTCATATTCAAATCATCACACCCAGCAAACAAAAGATTCAACAGCAGCAGTAAAAGAAAGTGGAAAGGTACAATTTAAGTTGTGGTAGACTCTTGTGTGTTGTTGTTTTGTTATGTTTGCAGTTGTCATTTTTTTTTTTTTTTTTTTTTTTTTTGCCAGTTACTTCAAAGTAGTTTTAAATGTTCTAGGTAGTTTCCAGTGGGCAATAAGAACTAACTTTGTACCCTTTGTACCTTTAGTTATAAGAGTGGGTGTGGTGATATATACTTTTAATCTCATCAGTCAGGAGGCAGAGAGGTAGGTTTGATGCTAACCAAGGCTATATAGAAAGATTGTCTTAAAACAAAACCAAAAACTAAAGACACTTAAATTGAACTTGAGGGTGGATTATTCTTAATGTGGTATCTTTTTAATATAAGCAGTTTAAAACTTTTAATTTCCATAGAACCTTTCTATAATTTTTTGTTGTTGTTAATTGTTTTTTACTTTTGGCAGATCCTCTAATTCTGAACCAAGAACAAAAAAATGTTTCAGCTTCATGCATTTCAAGCAAAGCATTAACTAGAGCCCAGTTTGGCAAACAAGTTCTTCATTCAAAAGGGAGGCCTGTGAAAACCACTGTGTCCAAAAAGAACACATTTGCTTTGGAAGGCGTTAATTCTACTTATGAAAAGTTTGAAAATACTGATATGAACACCATTAGTACTATTTGTGTTCCTGTTAAGAATCATAGCCAGTCTATTACTTCTGATAATGATGTGACAACAAAAAGGACTAAAAAAGAGGATATTACAGAAGAAAATGAAGAAATGATGTCTAGAAGGACTATTCTTCAAGATCCCATGAAGAATACATCTAAAGTTAAACGTGTGAGTCCAAGACTTAATTTAACACTATCTGACCAGTCTCAAAGAAAACTTACAAAGCTTGAAACTGTTATAAGTGAAGTAAAACAATATCAGGTAGGGAGACATTCAAGGCAAGTATTTATTCTGTTTTTAGTTGCCTCCTTATCTCTGTTCCTCAGAGGTTTAGACTCTCTATGCTTTATTTTTTGTTTTATTATTCATGGTAGCCACTATAAGCCTAGTGAAAAAACAGGTGAGCTGAAAGTAAGGTGACTCGGTTGTTGATTCTTATCTTGCTCTATTGCTAGTTGTAAACTTTACTTATGACTAAAAGAGATGAACACTGACATTGGTCCTACTTTTATTCCGACTTTTGAGGAATTATTAACATTTGAAATAGAAAGGAATTATAACAGCTAAAAGATTGAGATTTTTCTTGATAAAACTTATATGAGATGAACAGTAAAATACTTTAAAGCATCAAACTGTGTTGCATTGAGGTACATTTTTGAAGGAAATGTATTATCAGTTCAAGAAGAAATACAAGCATGTATGAAACTTAGGCATGATCTTCCAAGACTAAACAAAGAAAAAGGACAATTAAAACAAAAGTATGTCCATTAAGTTTTAAGTGCATAGTAGTGGGTATCCAATTGAGATAGTATGTAATCCTGTCTTAGTTTTAGAAATGATGAAGTGGTTACAATTCTATAATCTCAGTTATTTGCTACAAATTGTATCATTTACAAATATTTAAAGTTTGACATAGTGATAAAAAGTTTGGATATTGACTTAAATGTATAAAATTTGAATAAAATTATTCTAAGATTTCCTAGTACTTCTTCGTCTCTACCATGCCTGTTTATATCAGTTACCATAAGAACTTTAAGCCTTCCAGAACTTAAATTCATATTTTGTATATTCCACAGCTTCTGACCTGGTCTCTCACTCATCCTCATTTCTTCATTATATGGTTCCCTCTTCAACCTGTGAGATATATTATCAATATCCTGTCATTTATATCCTATGGATATATTTCTACCCTGCTCTAACTGAAATGGGCCTTCTACAAACAACCCTTTGGTTTCTTTTTCTTTAATGATCTCTTCCCTACGTTTACTCTCTACTCGTTAGCTCATTATACGTCATTCTTGCTAGCACGTGTGCCGGATTCTCAGTGCAGAAGCATCTCATGTTACTATCATTACCCTTTTACTAATCTTTATACCTCCTGATCAATAGTTTTACATCACTAAGATCGTCTTTAGTTCATGCCATTTGCATGTCCATCATTACCAGTTTCATCCCATGCAGATTTCCATTGTCCGGTTATGACCATTATAGGTTAACTCTCAACTCTATTATTCTAGTAACTTCCAGTTGCAGAAGAAAACATTAAGCCTTTAGTTCATGAATCTCTAAACTTACTTTTTATTCCTTCTTGCTTACCCCTTTCAAGTAACTGTGCTTTTTATGCTACCTATTTAGGGCTTTTAAACTTGTTCTTTGATCAGAAAAATCTTATAAACCTGGTGGCTTATACTTCATTTTATTCAGTTCACTGCTCTAGGACTTTACTTAACTGTCTTAAAGCATCCTTGTATGCCTTTATTCATTGTAACTATGTGTTCCACCTCCTTCCGTCTTCTACTTCCTTTCATTATGTTCTCATACACAGACAATGTTGAATCTGTAAGGGCAGCCATTTTATTTCTTGTCAAATCCCCAGTGTCTATAACAGTGTGACTATTGAGCAGATGTTTTATGACAGCATATTTTTAAATAAGCAATAGAGCAAAGGATTCTAGAGGCTGAATTTGATTTGTAACCCACATATGTCACTAGCCATATATTTCAGGAAAGTTATTTAGATATATTTTTTTTTCTTTTTTTCTTTAAACTATTTATTTATTTATTATATGTAAGTACACTGTAGCTGTCTTCAGACACCCCACAAGAGGGCATCAGATATCATTGCAGATGGTTGTGAGCCACCATGTGGTTGCTGGGATTTGAACTCGTGACCTCTGGAAGTGCAGTCAGTGCTCTTAACCGCTGAGCCATCTCACCAGCCCATTTAGATATATTTTACAACTTATTTTTCTGTAAAATGGAGATGGTACTTGCCTCCTCGAATTGTAAAGATAACATGAACTAGTGAATCTAAGGCACATGGAACACGTCCTCATATTTCCTGTCACCTCCCTGTATCTGTATGTCCAATTGTGAAAGAAACAGTATTAATCCTGTTCTTCAAAACATTTTTTTTCAGTTCTAGGAATCAAACTCAGGGATTTGCAGTATACCATTGAGCTACAATTTCAGATACCTATTTATCTATATAAAAGGATAATTAAGAAATGCAATACCAAAGACTGCCCTCCCATTTTAGCATCTTTTCTTGGTTCAGTTTAAAGTTTCTTGGAAATTTGTTTTTATATAAAAATGTATACTTTTATTTAAAGTGAATGCTCACTCGTTAGTTATATTAATTTTGACTTTAGTTCCACTTAGAAACACTTCGTCTTAAATTGTTATGAACTATAAATGTTCTTACTCTCAGTGTTCATGGAAAATTTTACATTTTAATGGCATTTTACTTACACTAAAGTCACTTTCTGAGTTATTCAGCTGTTTACTTGGTAATAGAATTGAATCTTTATTGCTAGCTGTGACCTTTATAGAAACAAAGTATATATATATTTGGAGACAAGATATATGATACATTTAACATTTTCATCTCTCTAAGTTGCTGTGTTTTCTATACGATTTGGTGGTTCATTGTATATGTTAGGATTCTCCTTTTGGCTAAGCCATCTTGTATGAGTATTTAAAATGCAGATCCTTCTGTATTACAGGCAAACCATATAGTACAACTTCAGTTAAGTTTCTGTATTTTTTTCTTTCTTTCAATACTATAGTTTTAACAATTGGTACTTTAAATGGGCTGATTCCTGTATAGATGGCTACTAAGAAATCAGTAATATTACATAGAGCTTTTCTTGTAATTCACATTTTCTAATGCTAAATGCTAACTGTAATACTATATTCAAGTAGTACAAGAAATATATATATATATTTTTTTATGATTGATTAGGTAGTCCACCTACAGGAATGGATGATTAAAGTCATCAATAATAATACTGCTATATGTGTAGAAGGAAAGTTGGTGTAAGTATAACATTTAAATGTTCTTTTAATAACGATTAAGTTGGCTGTATGTAAGTGATGAGTGACAAATAGCATCTTCCTATAAAACATGTTCTCATGAGGTAATAAACTGAAAGCAAAAGCAAAACATGACGTCAATCCCTTCTTAAGTTATTTGATGTAAATTACTGATCCATGAGAAGATCAAAATTATTTAAAGTTCCCAGGCAGTTACATGTTAATTGATACTTTTGGTTCTCAGAAGTGAAAGCATTGTCAGACAGTAGACTTTAACTCTGAACTAGCTTCCCCATAGTAAACAACTCGTGCCGACACAATGTCAGTTATACTGCTCAAGGTTGAACATATAAATTCTACTGGTCTACTCTGTCTTACAGCTTTATGCCCTTTTTCATGTCTAAGATGCAGCATGGAGTGCCTTTGCAGGGTTCCCACTAGTACTGCTTACTACCAATGTTACTTGGACAAATTACTTCTACTCTATGAAGCTCAACTTTTTCATTAGCGCAATGATAATAATATGATTAATGTTATTATAATTATTATTTATTACTATTTATTAATATTATTTAATACTAATATGATAATAAGGCTTTTGATTTGAGAGTGTATCATGTAGCCTAGGCTGGCCTTGGGTATTATAAGTACTATGTGTAGGTAAAAACATTTGCCTATGTATTTATATTTTTAAAAAGATGAAAAAAAACCTTTAAAATGAAATAGATCTACTTGACATTTTTGATCATGAAGCATGAGGGAGGAAGTTAGGTGCACATGTAATCGATGATCTCAGGTGGTTGGGGGATGTCCAAGTCCAAGGCTGTCTTGGGTAACATAGTAAGATGCAGGAACCAGCAAAATGGCTCAAGGGCAGAGCCTGCTGCAAGGCTGTACAGCCTTAGTTTGGTCCCCGGGCCCCATATGTTAGTAGTAAAGAACTGATTTCCAGAAGCTGCTTCTGTTCTATATGAATTCCATTGTAGACACACACAAAATAAATAATGTGGAAAAAAAATCCCAGCAAGACACCATCTGAATAAATAAAAATAACATTTCTACGAAAAGCCAACAAAAATGTGAAAAGGGCCACCAAAAATCTTTGAAGGCTTAGGAACTATTAAGCTGAAATGTCAGATGTTGCCAGCAGCACATGTTTGTTAACAGTTTTTCTTTCCTTTCCAATGCTGTATCTTATATCAGATATATAGATGGATTGACCACAGTATAGTTTTTTGGCATAGACTCTGAGGATCACATTAGCCAAGCAGTTGAATTGTGTACTGGTTAGTCCTCAGGTGTTTTGTAGTTAGATTAATAATGCTGTTATTGTTGTGGGAGCTAAGAGTACAAAATGAGTACTTGTGTTTTGGAGTGGAGGGTGACATCAAGACTGCATCTCACTGTGAAGCCCTCGTTGGCATGGAACTTAGTATGTGAATCCAGAGCAGTCTTCCTGCTTTTATGTACAAGGTGTTGAGATTACATATACCTTGCTCAAAATCAGTACTTCCTTATAAGTTTGTATGCTTCTATATGTATATACAGTTCCTGGTAAAGTGTAAATATTTTGACCTTACTAAACTTATTCTTTTTTTTTTCCCCTAGAGATGAGGCTGATATTTATTGGCATAGTAATGTAATTATAGAGCGGATTAAACACAATGAACTTAGGACCTTATCAGGCAACATTTATATATTAAAAGGACTGATAGACCAGGTTTCCATGAAAGAAGCAGGTAAATGGGCATCGTTATTAGTTAAAGCTTTCCATATCCTCTCCTCTTTCCTAAATAAATCCCAGGATCATAAATTGACCCTACCTCTTGTAATGTCCCACACAGTCATGACCTTTGTAACTCACTTCAGTGTTTGCCTAGTACTGACTCCTCATTGCAGTTCAGCTCTGCTTGTCTTATTTCACAAACAAACCCGCTGTCTGTCACAAGGCATTTCCCTATTTCTAATATTCGGATTCCATTTTACCACATGGCTCATCCCCTCAGGTTCCCATGACCTGTCCTTCTATTTCAGTAGAATTTCCCTGACTACCTCCTTTTGAAATTGCTGTCCTTTCCTTTTCTCCCATGAATATGTTTAACTACTTTTTCTGATATCAGTCTAGCAAAGAATTTTATTTCCTGGGTTTGCTTTTTCTCGTATATACTAGAAATTCAGTGTGTAATGATGGGGATCTTTATTTTCTTAACTGTTGGGTCCTCAGTACTCCATTAGTACTTAGAATATAGTAAACCAGAAGTACACATTTCTTGACTGATAGTGAGTTAGAGAGACCTCTTTAAAAGTCTAGGCTTTTGAATAATTTCATTTTCTTATTTTTAAATTAAAATAATTTTATATTTATTTTGCTCATTGTTACACAGGATATCCCTCTATTTTTACAAGAAAATTTCTGTTTGGATTTCCCAAAGATTGGAAGAAATACATTGATAATTTTCTAGAACAATTAAGGTAAACTATCTACATTTTTAAAAATCAGCTTTATCAAGGTGTAAGTTATAATTCCTAAAATGCAATCATTTTAGATACAAAATATAATGTGCCTTTTCAATTGTATATGTTTATGTAACCAGTGTAAAGTGGTTTTTAGTTTGCTGAGTTTTTGTGTTTGTGTGGTAGTTTTGATGATTTTTGTGATCTTAGGAGTTGTATAAATTAATTCTAATAAACCTTTATTAGAATTTCTGTCATTTTGAGTAAATTCAAAAAGAAAATAAAATTGGAGACACATTTCTAAGGAGAATTCATCAATTGCCTACCTTTTGAATGATGTGTAGCTGTTAAATATTGGACTGAGGTTCTTGATTCATTTTTCTCTATTAATTTTCAGTAGTTCTTGAGTACCTACTAGGTACTCATTACAAGGGGTAGGGTCAATGAAAGAAAAACTATTAATTCTTGTTCTTCAGGAGCTAGTAAGAGATAGAGAGCTTTCAACTTGACCAGGTCACTTATAATAGGAATTGGTGACTGTTTCTTCCCGAAAAGTACCAGATGATAGTTTTCTGGACATGTTGCTTCTTTTCTCAACAATTTACCTCTGTCTTTTCAATAGAAAAGCAGCTGTAGGTAGTGTAAATTGAATGAGCATGTCTGTGTCTCAGTAAATCTTACTTATAAAAATAGACCACTTCCCAATAGAAAGTACTTGTTTTGAGAAGGGTCTCATGTACCAGGTTATCCTCACTATGTAGCCCAGTCTGCTCTTGAACTCTTTGATTATTATCCTATTTGTGAGTTGAGCTAGCGCTCTTTCTCTCTCTCTCTCTCTCTCTCAATTTTGAGAACCAATATTTGAGAAAACAATAATACAATTGTTTTAGGGCTAAAGAAAAGAACAAGAGTGAGACCAGACAGAAAACTGCAAGATCCCAAAATAAACAAAAATGGATAAAAAATGATGCAGAAGATAAACAAACAGATGTCCTCCGAAAGGCCAGCATCACTTACGACCTTAATGGTGATGGCTTAGGTAGGTTTGAATTTTTCTTTGTTGCTGCAGTGGTAGAGTCTTACATAACCTTAACACTGTGTATAGTATGTGGCGTGTGGTGTGGTGTTTTTTGACTGATTAGGACCTTAAAATTCCTTCTTTTTTATTCTAAGGTGACTGCATTGCAGACTCTGCTTCAACGGTCTTTTTATCTCATGGAGTAAATCCTTAATCACAGTCCCAAACCCCTGATAAATACATTAATGAAAGCTTATGTTTAGACGACCAGCAGTCTTGTGGTAGAGACTAGTGCTATTTGACTTTATGGAGGACATTGCAGATACACTTGAGTAGCAGGTGCTGTAGAGGTTGGTGGAACTGTTCTACGTCAGCTCTTTTTAACGTTGCAATCCGCATCTCACACTGCCCCACTTTCACAAATTCTGTATGAAAATGATAGAAGTTACTGACATCCTTTGTGTATGTTTCTTGGATCTTCCCTTGACTTAGTAGCTAAGATGTGTACAGATTGCTAAATTTTCTGAGACTTGCACGTTGTTTTTGCTGACGCTGTGGCAAACCTGACCATGTGGTAAATGCTGACCATGTTAGATGTACATATACTGCAGCTCTCTCTAATGCTGTTATGTCATTTCAACTCCCTTTCTCTTGGAAATTTATATATCTTTTTTAGTTCAAAGAAAGCAATAATTTGTGATTGCAGAAATTTCACTTACCAAAACTTTAGTTCTTTCTCAATCCTTCCTTTTTACAAAAGTCATCAATTTTTCTTAAGTTTTGCCGGTTGCTTATTATCATTTCTAGGACATTTTGAATCTTCTAGAATCCTGGGATTACTATTACTTGCTATTACCTCCACACCACTGCCTTTTTTACTCATAAATGAAAAATAACCCTGGGCTGCTTTTTAGAAAAGTGATCTGCATTGTAACTATGATGGTTGCAAATGTTACAGAAAACGTGTGATAAGTTGGATGGAACACAAATTTAAAAGGGAGAGTTTGTTAAACTACTTAATATGCTATCTAGGCACATATGAAATACCAATCCATTATGAACATGGCTTTATGCTAGAAATTTAGGGATGAATAAGGCTTGGCATCTCCTTTTAGTAAATGCTGTGTACGGTATATACTATATTATAATTGTATTTTTTTCCTAAGATGATGCATTGTATCTTTTGTTTTATGATACTTTTAGATAATTATTTTATGAAGTTTTAGGTATTATCACAGGTTTTGATCAATGATATTTTAATGATTATTTTTGTTGTCATCCGTATATTTTTATACTCTCTATGAGAAAATAACAAAAACTACTGCTAGAAAGATGACTCAGTGGCCGAGAGCATGGGTTGTTCTTGCTGAGACCCTGCTTTTGTTCAGTTCCCATCACCCTTACTAAGCAGCTCACAGATGCCTGAGTCTCTACCTCCAGGGAGTCCTGGAGTTTCTGGCCTCTGCAGTCATTACATGGGCACAAATACACACACACACACACACACACACACACACACACACACACAAACTCACAAACACAGTTAAAGGTAAAAAAAAAAAAAGCAACCTTTAACTATGCGTAATGTTAAACAATAAGGTTATATAAATAACCTTAAAATGCCAACCCATGATCCTTTAAGATAGCGTGATTGTATTTTAATTATCTAACATGTAGTTTTTCATATTTACTGCTGTGACCATCATATCATAGTATTGCAGTTTAAAAATTGTCTTTGCTATAGTATAAGCATGTTACAAAGGATTTATTAGACTATCAGCCTCCCATACTCTACAGTAATCTCCAGGGTTAGGCCCAGCCATGTTGTGTCTTACAGTTCTTAAGAGAGTAATAAAATGCCTTTAAGTATTCTGGCACATACTTGTAATCCTAGCACTTAGGAGAATGAAGCAGGAATTAAAATTTGGACTTTAAGGTCAGCCTGGTCTATAGGATAAAACCCAATCTCAAAAAGCAATAATAACAACTCAAAAATAGTGTCAAAAAATTTAGTTATACATTGAAGAATATAAACTAACTGAAACATAATTTCATACACATAATGAAATAAGAGAAATAACCACTAGCTTTTTATTTTGTTGATGTGCAGTTAGGTTGTACAGGATGTGTGAATTCATACAATTATTTATACTATATACTATTCTGTTTTTAGATATAACAATAGGTTCAACGCAGGTATAAACAATATGATTGTACTTTTTTATGATAATAAAGGTGATTTGAACTGAATCATACTTTGGGAGAATGGTCTGTGGTACAAAAATTATTTTATTATAATCGAATTACAATGAATAGAATATATATGACATTTCATTATACAGATTGTTTTTCTCATAGTTCTTTAATGTGGAAAAGTTGTATATCTTTTTGTCCTTCCATTTTTTTTCTCCTTCTTTGCCCCTCCTTCTTTTAAACTCTTTTTTTATTCCTTTATTTTCTTTTTTTCTTTCTATCCATTCCCCACCCCCCTTCCTGAGATAGTCTCTTTATACTGTCAGCACGCCATCTTCCTTAGTCTCCGGGATGTTGAGAATATAGGCATGGATCATCATACTCTGTTGAAAACCAGCTAATCTTTTATGAAATTATTTAATGTTCCATCTTTGAATTCACAGAAATGAAGAAAAATGAAAACAGTAAGTTTTCAGGAGCTGCAGAAATAAACACCAGATACAACAATTGTCAAAATAAGCCACAGTTAAGGTTCCCACATAAGCAAGTAAGTTACTCTGTTTGTCTTAGTTAAGGTTTCAGTACTGTGAAGAGACACCATTGTTCCAAGCTTCAGAGTCCAAGTTTCAGAGGTTCAGTCCATTATCATGGTAGAAAGCATGTCATTGTTTAGGCAGACTTGGTGCTGGAGAAGAAGCCAAGAGTTTCTGCATCTTGGTCTGGAGGTGTCAGAAGGATAGTGTCTTGTGCAGGCAGCCAGGAGAGGACTCTCTTTCACACTGGGTAGAACTTGAGAATAGAGACTTCAAAGGTCATGCCCATGGTGATGCCCCAGCTTCATGACCCAACTCTGTCTACCTCTATTCTCCCCATTTATTTAACCAGTCAGAGAATAAAGTTTACATAACGTTTGGTGTGTGTGAGAATATGCTTGTCAGAGGCAACCAGATCTTGGTGTTCAGAAGTAAGCATTTGAGTACATAGCAACAGACTGACCCCCAACATTTCCCTTTTTGTCTACCTAAAAAGGCCCTTTCTCTTATAATAATAAACAATCATAAAAGCAAGTAAGAAACAATTAGGTAAGAGTTAAATTTATAAAGTCCAGTCCATCTGTATTTGGCAACTTTGGATAAAGTTTTCTATTATCTTATCTTGGTGAGTTTAGAGTTATGTACTTAAATCTTTTTTTTTTTTATCATTACTTGCATTACCAACATAAAACATCTTTTAAAATCCTAATCAACTTAAGTTTAATTGTGAGGGTATAAGTATCTAGTCGTCAACCCCATCAGAGACATGAGAAGGAATAAATATTACCTGAGTATGCAGAAAGTACAGAGCAAGCAGTTTCCAAAATTATACAAATGACAGAAAAATTGGTTGTCGGGACAATCCCCCAGAATTGGCTCTAAAATCCTGAAACATCATCCATCTTTAGCCTTTTGGCCCAGAATATCTGACAAACTTTTCTGTGGAGCAGGAATTATGAAGGGCTAGCCTATGGTATGCTTGCAAAACTTGGCAGTTGACTTCCTTGCATCCATGTTTTACATTTTAGACAGCATTTTGTCTATTTTAAGCAAGAGAGTTTGTAAGTAATTTGTTTTAAAATAATAATAATAAATTCCTTGAATCACATATTCTGTAAGTCTCTGAGGGTTTTTTTTTTTAAAGACTATCTATACATAGCATATCTGAGTAGGCAAACTTTGTTTCTAGCTATTTGTTATCTGTTCAACTTGGAAACAATTTTGTTATAAACTAGACTAATGTCTGATGTGACTGTGAGTTTGATTGTCTGACTCTTAACTTGCATTTCCTAATTATCCTAAACAATTTGTAGTAGCAACTTTCAAAGGGACTAGAACTTTACATTATTAAGAATCATGTAGGTACAAATACCTCAAATAAGAGTTGAAAACATGGTTTGTTGTACTGAAAATAGACTGAATTTTTGCATCAATGTAACAAAGATCTATACCAATGTAACAAAATGTAACCTTAATGTGTATCAATATATAAAGATCTATACCAATGTAAGATTAGTTTTGATTTAAGAGTAGATTTAGCTGGACAGTGGTGGCGCACGCCTTTAATCCCAGCACTTGGGAGGCAGAGGCAGAGGCAGGCGGATTTCTGAGTTTGAGGCCAGCCTGGTCTACAGAGTGAGTTCCAGGACAGCCCGGGCTACACAGAGAAACCCTGTCTCGAAAAACCAAAAAAAAAAAAAAAAAAGAGTACATTTAATAATCTACCTCCTTTTCTTATTATTTCTATAATATTCCTATATTGCCCCCTTTTTTTTCAATCCCTCTCTCCCTACATAAGAAAAATAAGGATAGAGAAAAGAAAAGGAAAGAAATCCCTGAGTCTAACCTCCTATACCTCTTTACTAGTAATGTGCTTTATATTATTATGAATAAAAATTGCTTCATTTCTTTGGGTACCTTTAGGGTTACTTCTTATAGGTAATATAGTTTGGTTATATGCCTTAGCTTGTTGCCAAGTAATAGAAAACTCTTTCTTTAAACCTTTGCTTTTAATTTTAACATGGTGTTTCTTAAATGATATAGCTTCTAGCACATTTCCTATCAATAGCTGATCAATTTTATCATTAACTTGTGCCAGAGGACCTGGCAGATTCATATGGAATCTGATATGTGTTGTATACAATGAATAATTTCTATTTCTAATCACTTGTTGTTTAATAAACAGTGAAGTTAATTTGGAATCATTCTGAATAAGTTTAGGAGTTTCTATATGCAAAACAACTCTTTCAGTATATTGAGAGTCAGTTATGATATCCTGAGATTCTTGAAAATCTA